TTATTCAAAGTAAATTGAAAGCATGTTTAAAACCAAAATATTTATGTTTGAATTAAATTCAAAACCATGTTTATTTCAACAATATAGGATTTGGGTAAATGGTTTTTAGCGTGTCATGCCTTTTTATTTTCTTCTTGTTACATTCGGAAAAAGTTGCCCCAGCTTTGCTCAACCTCAACAGAAAACGGCCATCCATTCCGGATCCTCCTCCGATACCGAACATGGGAAGAAACCGGTATGAGGACGAGTGGCAGAAACCGAGGCAGAAACGGCAAAACGACGCTAATAACACAAATTTGCACCGGTTCCACTGAACTGGAACCCCCGGACACCCACCCCGACGGGTCCTCGCATCCCGGACCAGGACCCCAATACCCACAGGTCACCTTTAATCGCACCCGAAAAAAGAGCAGGAATTTAGATGCCCTGCCCCAAGTTCTTTTTTTCATTTCTTTGCAAACATGAGAAGCATGTTTAAAATAAACATATTTATTATTGTTCGCATAGCTGTCAAACCAAACAAAAATATATGCGTTTATTTTCAACACGAATATTTTTGAAATAAACGTAACATTATTTTTATTTTAAACATTGATTTCACATGGCTTCAAACAAGAAATACGTTTGAAATCAACCTAATTTATGTTTGTGGCCAGAACAAACTGAATTTACGTTTAAATTTACCTCAAATATTTTTGTTACGACGATACTTTTTTCTGCGTGTATGTGAGAGCGTGCACACAAAGAACAAAAATTGTATCTATAAAAATAGTCCATTTTCAATTTAAAAGTTCCCCTCAATTCTATGAACTAACTACAAAAACAGTCAACATAAAAGTTAAATTGTTGGCATAAAAGTTTTTTTTTCACGATCAACTTGTAATTTTAAAAGTTCATTTTTCAAAATTAAACGTGTTTAACTGTCAAAAATATCTCTTCAACGATGTGATTACTGCGTTTACTGGCAACCCGGGTAACCTACAATTGCCGCCTTTTCCACTTGTGGAATGTTGACGTCAGCTGCGAAAACGAGATAAATTTTATTCCAGAAGAAATGAAAAACAGCGGCCGTAATGTAATTCTGTAATTTGCCTCGATTGTCTATTAAATATGAGTGTGTTTAATATAATCATTGAACTGTCTTCAAAGTGGTAAGTGGCTGATGAGGATAGTTTCGTGGTTGGTGTGAGTAAGAAACTGAATATTATTTTAAATTTTAGAATATGGTTGCTCGTTGGAATGATCGAGAATTCATTCAATCTGATCTTTGCCTTCGACAAAACCGTTGCCTTCGGATTCACGACTTCACGGGGACAGGTTCGACCAGGTTGTGCGACAAACGAAGGAAGGGATCGACCATACGGTGAGGGTAGATCCGATGGAAGTAGCTTGATCGGAGACATGGTTATCAATCAGATATTATGATGTCGTAGTTTGCTATCGACGACGGCTGTACCCGCTGCGTGAGTTAAAATTAGTTGATAACGAAAGTCAACACACTTAACGTTAAATTTAAAAAACATTTTTGTATTTGCAGAAAACCGGTTACTCGTAGTGGTCCCTGGTGTTCCTTTTCTGTGTAAAGAATGGCACAAGCAAGGTACAATTGCAAAATGCAGACCAACGAGGCACTCGGCGGGTATACACACATTCCAATGTATGGCAGTGTCCGAAACCGGATCATGCGTTCCGCGCATTCTTCGTGATGACCATCACCTGTCGTGATTCCTACCAAGTGTTCTATCAGCACAAGTACTTTCTAGACGTCATTTTATAACATAATTGTAAATAAATATTTTTCCTGTATAATAATGCTTTTTTTAACGTTTGTTAAAATTCAAATTAAGAAACGCTTGCTCTAAAAATGAATTTATTTTATTTCCGATTAAAAATAGCCCATGTCATTTTAACTACACCACACTTTTCTGGTAAAAGTTTGTTTTGAAATGAGAATAATCCACTTTTAATTTCAACACTGCAACGTTTTTCATTTCACAGTGCTGCAATTCGTTTTGAAAGTTTCAACTTTTGGGGCAACTTTTGAATTGAGAGTTGACAGACTTTTGTTTTGAATGCTAATGACTTTCTACCAAAAAGAACCAATGCAAACTTTCAATTCTACTAATGGTTTTTTTAATTTTATAAACGAATATTTTTTGTGTGTGCTAGTGAATATCCGAGGAAAATATATAACAAATCGATGTCAACCTCATTTTGAAAGATCTACTTTCATACACTTTTTAGGTTATCCAGAGGAAAATAATCAACAACTTGCCGTGTAAAGTGCTCCCGCTAGTGACCCCGGTGAATGAGAACGACCCAAATTTGAGTTTAGTTCACTCATAATCGCCAAAAGTGCAGGAACTCAGCGATGAGTAAATTTGCCTCATGTTTTCGCAGGTTTTTCCAGGATTTTCCAGGGAAAAATTCCCGAATTTCAGAAAAGTAAAGATTGGATTCACTCAGTCTATTGTAGAAACACTGGAACCAACAATCAATACGAAACTAACGATTTTAAATTGGCTCACCACTTTAGTAGCCTATTGGTCCCAAGCAAACGATTAACGTACCCTATTCTAGTTGAAATTCTATTACTACACTATGTTTGTTTTGATTTGCTATGAAAGTTTGACAGATAACATCAGGGGTGTGTGGATTCATGCAGAACATGCAGGGGTGAGTGAAATAGCTTGGGACTGGTTGGGACCGTTGTTCTGGTACTGAGTGAGCCAAAAATAATAATGATTTTTTCGGGACCCAGTGGTCTTAGAGTTACCTCTATGCTGGAACACCAGCGGAGACACTGTTATGATTCCAATCGAACTGTCAAAAGTGGTTCCAATCTGCAATGTTAACAAATGGTTTGCTTCAATTAGGGAGGAGTATTAAAATCGTTTACCAATCACTCATGAACTCGATCGTCGGTGCATTGGCGAAGTCACTCGCAAGCAGTTACAAATGCAAATGACGCCAGGATTGCATTGATGTTTATCTTGTTGCCAAATTCGAGGGAGGCGACACATCTAAATCTCAATTCTAAATGCTCAAAAAATCCCACATTAGCGAATCAATCTTCGAAAAATCATCTTTAATTTCTCGCATCTACTTGCATCGTGCTTCATCTTTTTGCAGGAAATCTTCAAAATCGACATAAATCTTCCTTCTATCTACTCAGCGTGCGTGCAGCTAGCCACAGCGAAACACAATCTTTTCTCCATCGTAGATAGAGTCGTCCCCCTCGGCCAAATTCATGTTTTTTTTTTTCGCCGCTGGTCTCTTATTCCAGTGTTTCTAGTCTATTGGTACTACTCCGAGACTGAATAAAATTTTCATCAATCCCTAATAAAAATAACCATAAAAGAAAGCTTAACGACGTGTTCGGGGTATCATCCAAACCATTTGTGGGATAGTTTACCCATCCAGGATACAGTTCGTTTATGCTACTTGTTTATTAGGGATTTCCTCGTTTTCCGGCAGATTTTTTAGGTTTTCCACAGGATACAAATTTCACTCATCGCTGAGTTCGTGCACTTTTGGCGATTATGAGTGAACTAAACTCAAATTTGGGTCGTTCTCATTCGCCGTGTGCGTTCGTTAAACGTCACTAATCGCTATAACATTGAATCTGGTTTTCACTTCACGCTTATTTATTTGGAGGGGAAAAGCCCACACTATAGTGGGCGCAAAACCTTATCATTTCAGTACCAACAGATAACATGGAATCCTTTATAAAGTACCGGCTGTTGCTGATTGAGTGGCTTTTACTCAATTTTACGTTTCTCGTTTACTCAATTTTTGACAATTCCATACATCGGACAAAAGTGAGTACGATCGACTCACCCAGTGAGTCGTTCAAAAATAGCGTGTTGCTTGTGTACATCGATCGAATGGCAAAAGCTGCCAGCTCTATTCCTCAAGATTGTGCACAGGGTGGCCAGACCTACCGATTTGCTTACCGATTCACAGACGAAAGGTTAAATTCTAGATAGAGCAGGAATTAGGGCGTAACAGCTTAGGTAAACACTGACTTCTTTCGAAGAATTCTAGAAAACCAAGGCTTGCCCACACAAATCAAAATCACCATCGAATAGGGAAAGGCTTCCTCTATCTATGGTTTGCGTTGGCGTACCTTTATTTCCTACACAGCAAAAAAAGTTGTTGAATATTACATCGAAACTGCTGCAACCAGGTCAATCCATCGGTTGTGTAATATCACATTGTACGATGTACATCGATTTTGCAAACAAAATTACATCCATTGATGTAATATTGTATCTGCTTTTTACTATTACATCATTATTTCATACATCAGCTTGAATTACATTGATCGCTATTACATTTTTTTTTGCTGTGTAGAAATCGTCGAGAGAAGTCATTGTTTACGAAAGCTTTTACGCCCTAATTCCCGCTCTATCTAGAAATGCTACCGATTTTTCCCTTATCCTACCGAGAATCACAGATTTTTTGTAACCTTGAAAAATGTTCAATACCAATGTTCTGTTTTCCGTGTAGTCAGAATTAGCATTAGAATCGAGATTAAAATAAGAAATATTGATTTCGACACGTTTAAAGCAGAAGAACTGAAGGACAGTGTATCAAGTATCGGGAAAGCCTTCTTAAGACGGCCTACCCTAATAAAAATTGTATGGTTAATTTGCTTAACGACGTGTTCTGGGTATCATCCAAACCATTTATGGAATAGTTCAATGATTTGGGTTATCGTTCGTTTATGGTTATTTTTTATTAGGGTACCGATAACTACCGATAAAAGCTACCGATAATGAAAAAGGCCATTTGTGCACTGCATTTTACGAGCAGTGAGTTCAACCCTGCACTCAGAGTCAAGGCTTCATCAGACCGTCACACCCCTGTCGGTTTTCAATCAGCTGATGATGTTTGCGTTCGTTCCATTTCCATTCCGTTCCCCGCTGTTGACAGTCGTGCTGGACGAAAAAAAAAAAATAACAACTCACACCAAAATAATTTTTGGATTCAGTTTTTTTTTCTTTTCATCCGTCTGGAAGAAAAATGTATCAAAAGTGCACAAAACTGACCATATTTTCCCCTTAATGTATTCAGTCTGTTTACGTGTAAAGCTCAGTGATTGAAAAGTGACTCTTCACTCGAAATATCGTCCTAAAATGATGGGTAAATCACCGTTTTCTACTTTCTCATCAGACGCAGCCATGTTGGCATTGAATCAAAATGATTAAAAAGTTTAATGCAATGACTCATCCCTTTAATGGCAATACCTACTAAATAAATTAACAATCGATTTTCTCTTCAGGTTGTTGCGGTTGCTGTTCGGCCTTGCGGCCTCGCTACAAACGCCTGGTGGATAACATCTTCCCGGTGAACCCGGAGGATGGCCTGGTCAAGTCGAACATGGAGAAGCTCACCTTCTATTCTTTGCGCTCGCCGGAAAAGCTGGACCGCATCGGGGAGTATCTGTACCAGCGAGCGTCGAAGGACATCAACCGGAAGCGGTACAAGTTTGTGGAGATAGCCATGGAGGCGATGGACTTGCTGCTGATGGCTTGCCATGCTCAGATTTTGAATCTGTTCGTCGAGAGTTTCCTCCGAATGGTGCAGAAACTGATGGAGGACACCAATCCGACGCTGCAGATTATGGCAACGAATTCGTTTGTGCGATTCGCGAACATCGAGGAGGATACGCCTTCTTATCATCGGCGGTACGATTTCTTCATTTCCAAGTTCAGCTCGATGTGCTACGGAAACAATGATGATGTGGAACTGAGGGATAATATGCGGATGGCGGGCATTAAGGGGCTGCAGGGGGTCATCCGGAAGACGGTTTCGGATGATTTGGTGGAGAATATTTGGGAGAAACAGCACATGGAGAAGATCGTTCCGTCATTGCTGTTCAATATGCAATCGGCGAGTGGTAGCAAGTCGGTGGACCAGGAAGCGACTCCGTCGACGCCTCCGGTTCTGGCGGAAGCTGTGCTCAGGGAGCTGGTTTCCCGTGCTTCTTTTGGACATATCCGAGCAGTGTTGAAACCCCTGCTGACTCACTTGGATAGCCACAAGCTGTGGGTACCGAATCGCTTTGCGATCGACACCTTCCGGATTGTGATGATCTCGATTCAACCTCAGTATTCGTACACCGTAGTCGAGACGCTGATGTCCCATCTGGATCAGAACTTGGCTTCCTCGCCGAAAACACGAACTTCGCTCGCGGTTGTTCTATCCAAGATCATCGCCATCGCTGCTGGGGAGAGCGTAGGACCATCCGCCCTGGACATTATCAACAATCTGCTAACGCATCTGAAGACATCGGTCAGTACCCAGCACGAGTCCACTCCGGAGGAGACCCAGTACCAGGAAGCTCTGATCAACGCTCTAGGCGAGTTTGCCAATCACCACCCGGACTATCAGAAGATCGAAATTATGCTCTTCATTATGAACACCGTTCCGGACCCTTCGAAGAAGAGCAAAGGCGATCAGCTTCTTCAGAACATCCTTCTCAAGTCGTTGCTCAAAGTCGGAACCCAGTATCGGACCGTGTCCTTTGAAAAAGCCTTCCCCGTGTCGTTCCTGCAGCCACTGCTCAAGATGGCACGGGCCACATCCGTTCCGATTCGAGTCATTGTCATGCAAATCTTCCAACAGTTGCTCGATCGCCACCAGAATCAGCACCTGCTGTTCGTGATCGAAGTGAGCAATTATCCCACCCTCACGGTGGAGCAAGCTTCCCGATCGGACATCCTCTTCACGCACAAATATGGATCGAACATACTGCAGGCAATTCTGGATGGAATGTCCCAGGAGAACCACATGGAAGTACTGAAATCGTCGTACAACACCGCCGGACTGATGATCGTGGAGATGGCTTGCAGCGAAACGGTGCAGGAGTTCCTGCTGTTTGTACTAAGGTATTTTTTTCTAGATACTTGATCACCGTTTAGTCTTTTAACGCGCGCTTTTCCACCGTTTCAGTGTCCAGCAGGTGGCCATCACCGAAGTCGAGCTGTCTCCGAAGCATCGTTGCAATCTCCACAGCATTGCCGTCGCTCTGTTGATCCTAATCGGTCGCTGCACCGGCATCGGAACTCTCGTGGAATACGCCGAAAAAGTCATTCAATCTCGTCTGGAGGACGCCACCTACCTGCTGCCACCGCTGATGGATAACGAAAAGCCCGCTCCGAGCACGCTGAACACGAATCAACCCCACTTGATGATCGACAAACTGGCCTTGGCCGAATGCCTCCAGCAGGCGGGTTTGGAGCACAACCGAGTGCAGACGGGAACGCCCTACTCTCTGAACCAGACGGACATGTCCGCTCATCGCCACTCGTGGGTCGATACCAGTAAGTGCTATAGTTCGAATCTCAATCAAAACAACCAATCAATTTCCAAATTCTCCGAATTTCAGGTGCAGCCCGGAACAGCATCGTGGACGCCAACTACAACGACGTCGAATCTGTCAGCAGTTCCCCCGGGGTACAGAAGCGCAGTCTGCCGTTGGACTTCAACTTCGAATCGATGAAGCGGGTGTTGGCCGAGCCGACGGAGGCCAACAAGCGCGAAGCTCGCGAAAAGCAAGCCGCCATCGGGCGAACCTTCCGCGAGACGGCATTCGAAGATTTGGTTCGCCGGACGGAGCCGCAACACGATGTGCTGCAGAACAAGCTGAACGAAATCTTCAACTCGCTGTCGGCGGAGCGGCAGATCCACTGCGGCAATCAGCTGGTGCTGAATTCCGCCGCTGCGACGACGGTCGTGGACGGAGGCATTGGCGGCGGACTTGGAGGGGGCAAGTTGAACCAGCAGCGGCCGATCTACGAGAACAATTTCCCGGAACTGTTCTTCTACTAAGCTAGTGGATGTGGTTTTATTTTTGTTGTATCTTATGGTGTATTTATTGTTAGCTAGTCGGGAAGAGGGAAGGCGAAAACACTCGGTAATACATTTTGGGGAATCGTTGTATTTAAATCGAATATATCAAACTACAAAGTATTAGAGTATTTAGTCAATTTGAATCATTGACGTTGAGGTCACCATTAAAGGGATTCTGGAAGATTTGCTATAATAAAGTATTCTATTCTCCACTATAAATATGTTTTGATTCATTCATGTTTCCTAAGCACCACATACCATTTAGTGGGGACATCTCTGCAGTAAAAATGTACATTTACCACCTCTGCTCCCGTCAATATCGATGCATAACAGATTGAAAAAATAGACAAAAAGGTCGAATACTTAAATGGTTCAAATGGTCAAAAGGTCAAGTCGCTCTTACTGGATCAAAATACAATAAAGACTTTAACGTGTCTATGTATGGCTCCTCCAAACTTTAAGAATCAAATTAATTCTAAAGCATGCGTGTTTGGAAGTCACATTATCATGTTACAATATAAACCTAAGAATGAACCAATTACATAATATACCTAGGAGAAAAAAAGGAAAGGTGATTTTCTCCTACGGAAATAAATATAAAGACGCCATACAAAATCGAAGGGAAATTGGTAACTTCCGATGCATGATTTAGCATGTCATCAATTATTGCGGCTCCAAATTAATCAAAGAGTTCTCATTAATCTCGATTTTTGCTAAATTTTAAGCATATTCAATCGGTAGAAGTTCTCAAAATTCACAAAAAAAAATCATTGGTTGATCATCAATGATCACATAGGAGATACATACATTTAGGCGCTTCCTGGCCGAACGCTACCCGAGCATGTAGGAGAATATCATTGACCACCTATCTACACACACCTTGGTAAGGTAGTTGAATTCGAGATACTGATCTGATATTTTTCAGTGTGTAGCGATGTTTGTTTTATTTCTTTCAATAGCAGACAACAACTCGTGTATGTTGGACGTAAATATAATTATGTAGTACTGTAATCGGTTGTTCTAAGTTTCATTATCCGAAGTTCCTTTTTCGTCCTTTTCCGCATGTGTTGCTTCCTGTTGGCTGGTTGTTTTGTCCACAGGTTATGGGCCCAGCGCAGGAGAAGTGAAGAAAAGTGCTGAACTGAAAAAGAAACTGTTCTAGTGTTTTTTATTTTATTTTCTCGCGGACTCTAAACGTGTGGTAGCCATTTTTTTTTTTTCATAATGGCGGACGGTGCAAAAGTTTCATTCCCCAAGTTGAGTCAAACGAACTGGGCTTCTTGGAAGCAACGAATGGAATGGTTGCTCGAGAAGGAGGATTTGTGGGATGTCATAAGTGTTGCAAAGCCGGAACCGGAGACGGAAGAATGGAAGAGTCGCGATCGGAAAGCTCGTGCGAACATTGGACTTTTTCTCGATGAAAGTCAATTCAAGTTGGTGAAGAATTCAGACAGTGCTCGTGGGATGTGGAATGCTCTACGGGAGCACCACGAAAAAGCAACAATGTCCACCGTTGTGCATTATCTAAACCAACTGTGTAGTGCAAATATGGCTGAAAATGGGAACATGGAAGAACACTTGAACACGATGGAAGAGTTGTTTGATAAGTTGATTGCTGCGGGGCAAAACTTGGACGAGTCGTTGCAGATAGCAATGATTTTCCGTAGTGTTCCTCCGTCGTATCGAAGCTTGGTGCAAAGTTTACAGTGCCGGGCAGATGCTGATTGGACAGTTGTGCTGGTAAAAGCTCGCCTTTTGGATGAGTACAACCAACGGCGGGAGAGAAGTGATGTTTTGTCGAACGATATGAAAGCGATGAAGCTCGATGCAGGTGAAAACAGAAGAGAAAAAGTGTGTTATTTCTGTAAACAACCCGGTCATTTTCGAAAGCATTGCAAGAAGTTGCAGTCGAAGAAGAATATTTGTGAAGATGAGAAGAAACAGTGGCATCGGAAGGATGATAATTACAGAGGTGGAAATCCTAAAGCAAAACAGGCCCATAACGCGGGTGGTTCTGGGGGATCCGTGTGTTTTATGGCTGGTGATGCGATGCCGGGCTGTTGGGTAATTGACAGTGGTGCGACGCGTCATATGACGAGTGATCGATCGTTTTTCGAGTCAATGAACGCTAGTGACTATTCGAGAGTTACGCTTGCCGACGGTAATAAAACGAAAGTGTGCGGTGTCGGTGAGGGCGTCGTTTTCGGTGAGAACGGACGTGGTGACCGGGTAGAAGTAACTTTGAAAAACGTACTGTACGTGCCGGAACTGGATGGTGGTTTAATTTCGGTGAGTCAACTGGCTGCGAATGGATTCGCGGCGAAATTCGATGCAGCGTCGTGTGTGATCCAGAATGAAAAGGGTGAATCAGTGCTAGTTGCAGATAAAGTTAGCAACCTATACCGGTTGCGGATTTATGAACGTTCAATGAAAGTTGGCGGTGAACATCATGAGCGGTGCCAGCATACTTGGCATCGTCGGATTGGCCATCGAGACCCTGATGTGCTGAGGCGAATAGTAGCAGATGAGCTGGTAAGTGGTTTCATTTTACATGATTGTGGGGCTCGCATCGTCTGCGAGTGTTGCATGAAGGGCAAGCTTGCGCGAAAGCCTTTTCCTCCTGTGACTGAGCGGAAATCTTCACAGCCCCTGGAGTTGGTTCACACGGATCTGTGTGGCCCAATGGAAACCACTACACCATCGGGAAATCGCTATCTGATGACGCTCATTGACGATTTCAGCCGGTACACAACCGTGTATCTGCTGAAGAATAAATCAGAAGCCTCAGGAAAGATTCAGCTGTATGTTCGGTGGGTGGAGAATTGTTTCGGGCGTAAGCCACGCGTCATTCGATCCGATGGCGGAGGCGAGTACGTCAACCGTGAGCTGCGGGAGTTTTATGAAGCTGAGGGCATAAAGGCGCAGTACACCATGCCGTATTCTCCGCAACAAAACGGCGTCGCCGAGCGCAAGAACCGATCAATACAGGAAATGGCGATTTGTATGTTAGCAGATGCTGGATTAGGAAAACTGTATTGGGGCGAGGCTGTCTTGACGGCAACTTACCTGCAAAACCGGCTACCATCCAGGGTTGTAGTGAAGACACCGTTCGAACTTTGGACAGGACGCAAGCCAAGTTTTGAACATCTTCGTGTATTTGGATGTGATGCTTATGTGCACATACCTGATGCAAAACGATCTAAGTTAGATGAGAAGTCTATTAAACTAACTTTCGTTGGCTATTCTGAGGACCATAAGGGATATCGTTTTCTCGATTTGGTTACTAATCGTGTGACCATAAGTAGAGATGCGATGTTCATTGAGCTTGGTAATGGATCGGAACGATTGGGTGAACGGAAATCTGAGGTTGTGTCAGAGGAGTTGGATGATTCCGTTGTTATCCCGATCAACCCGGTGACGACTGGTCGAAATGCTGTAGACGATGATGTTTCTTCTGATGACTTTGAAGGTTGGAGTTCTGCGGATGATCCGTCAGAAGAAGATTTTCAAGGTTTCAGTGATGAAGGTGATCGTCAAGAGGAGGAGCAAACATTGCAGCGTATTCAAAGGAGAACTAGAGGTGTTCTACCAAGACGGTATGACAATTTTGTTGTGGGTATCGCTGAGTTTTCTTCATTTGAACCAACCGATTACCGGAAGGCGTTGGAGATTTCGAAATGGAAGGAAGCGATGGATTCGGAAATTGGATCACACAACTTGAATGGAACCTGGGAGCTGGTTCATCTACCGGAAGGAAGAAAAGTGGTTGGGTCACGGTGGGTGTTCAAGCTAAAACGTAACGAAAGTGGGGAAGTCGTGAAGCATAAGGCAAGACTGGTGGCGCAAGGCTACAATCAACGCTACGGTGTTGATTACTTGGATGTGTTCGCTCCGGTAACGCGGCAGGAAACTCTACGTGCGCTTCTGGCAGTAGCAGGGAAGAAACGTATGGTAGTGCAACACATGGATGTTAAAACGGCGTACCTACACGGTACCATCGAAGAGGAGATCTACATGCGACAGCCCCCCGGATATGAAGTTGCTGGTAAGGAGAACATGGTGTGCCGACTCAGGAGGAGCATCTATGGCCTCAAGCAGTCAGCACGATGCTGGAATCGTGCATTACATGCGGTGTTGATGAAGCTAAAGCTTGAACAATGTGAATCAGATCCCTGTTTGTATGTTCGACGTGATGGTTCGAAGACGGTATATCTTCTTGTATACGTCGACGACATATTAGTTGCGTGTACGCAAACAGCAGTTATAGATGCTGTGTTCGAAGCACTTCGGAAGGAGTTCGATGTTACAAACCTTGGAAAGGTGAAGCATTTTCTTGGTCATGAGGTGCGCTGCAATGGAGGATTCTACAGCCTACGCTTGACAAGTTACATCGATGCTTTGATCGAGAAGTTTGGTCTCAAGGACTGCAACCCTTCTAAATCACCAATGGATCCGAGCTATGTCAAATCGGATAGCAACAGCAAGCCGTTTGAAGATGTTACTCTGTACCGAAGTTTAGTAGGTGCCCTCCTTTACGTGGCGGTAAATGCTAGGCCAGATGTGGCAGCAAGTGTATCTCTTCTTGGAAGAAAAGTGAGCAATCCTTCAGAAATAGATTGGAAAGCGGCGAAGCGGGTAGTCAGATATCTAAAGGGAACAAAAGACCTTAAGCTGGAATTTGGAGCTGGAAAAGGATGGATACTCGAGGGCTACTCAGATGCAGACTGGGCAGGCGACCAAGCGACTCGGAAATCTACAAGTGGGTACATATTCTTCTTTGGAGCTGGACCGATTGCATGGGTGAGTCATAAACAATCCTGTGTAAGTTTATCTTCTATGGAAGCGGAATATGTGGCATTAAGCGAGGCGTGCCAGGAGCTAATCTGGCTGCGTCGATTGATGGAAGATCTTGGGCAAGTTCAGCAGTGCACAACAGTCTACGAGGACAATCAAAGCTGTTTGAGTTTCATCAAGGCGGAACGAACAAGCAAGAGATCCAAACACATTGATACAAAGCAGCATTTCATCAAGGATTTGGTAAATCAAGGCGTTGTGAAATTGGAGTTCTGTCCATCAGAGATGATGATAGCTGATGCACTAACAAAACCGTTGGGAGCGACCAAGTTTCGACAGATGTTGGAACAAACTGGACTCATCGGATGAATTTCTGCGGTGAT